ATAATCGATCGTTCACGCCTCACCCGGATCAGTACCCATGATCAATAGGATTCTCAACTTCAGAACAGTGATTTCGGGATATCAGAGAGGAACCCGCGGACCTGTGCATGATACTAACGTACGTCGTGCGCCGTATGAACATTCGAATGTCACCAAATTTCCACGGATGAAAACTTTATTTTGGTAGAAAGTTAAGCATATTTATTCTCCCAATGTTCCAATATTTTAGATTAAATTGCGGACAAGACTGTATGATAAATTGGAGGAAGAATACCTACGATTTCCCCAACAGATTCGTATTTTGTAAAAGGAAATTTTTCAACGAAATTTGGCAACGCCTGAGGGTTCATACGACATTTTTCCTTAGTGCGGCAGCATAGCCTCGTTAATTCCAATGAAAATCAAAATTTAAGAATCGCAAAAGCAGCTATTACTTTATTTGCACACGCTGAGCCGTGAATGGATATTTCCAAAGTACAAATGACTCAATTTTTCTAAAAAATGAGAATCCTTTTGTGTCACCTTTTTATCTCGGGATACAGTCCGGCAAATCTAACCAAAAAATGACAAAACGTGGACATTGCAAACTTATTATGAGTTTTAAATCACCCGCTCTGGGTGCCCATGCAAACAAATGTTTTTTATTTACTCGCCGGAACTCCTCCAGAATCGCCAAAATGTTGCAAAATATCGATGCAAGAGCCCAAAAATGGAGCAAAAATGAAAAACAGGCCGCACTATCTAAAATCGACATGATTCACAGTTTTACATAAATGAAAAACAGTATTGCCCACCTAGCCGAAATCGATACTAGTTGGTTGTCTGAAATTGGACAGATTAAACCGAAATCAATCTTACTGCATTCAACGTCGCCTTACACTCTCCCAAACTTTACTTTTTCAACGGAGAACCAAAGGACACGATGCCTTGAGCCTTTTTGTGCGTTTCCCCTGATTTAAGAAAAATATCCTCACACAATTTCAAGTCAGAGTGAGGATTAATTTCATGTTAAAAAAAAAAAAAAAAAAAAAAAAAAAAAAAAAAAAAAAAAAAAAACATGAAAGAGGCAATGTTTTGTTCCATTACGATCAGGAGTACCTACATAGTGAAATGATAATTTTTTTTCAAGCTTGAAATCAAGCAATACTGACAGTGCGAGCAAATATGCCATTGAGAGATAGAACATAGCAGCAAATAAGACGAAGTCCCGTTCTTTTACAGTTGATTTGCTGCATTTCCAACACCTTCGCGGCTATGTTATTCAAGCCATTGGATTCTGACGATTTCTCTGGTGTCTTGGGGCGTCGTGATTTGGTAAGATATTATTAAAAAATGTATCAGAATGTTTAAATCTGTTCCTTGTCTACTAGTCAACTACAGGCATTTGTTTCTTGTTTGTTTATATTTGAAGAGCTGTGTCACGCGACAAAGACCCTTTTCAGTTGCTCGTGAAGTTTTGAAACTGAGATGATAAAAACATATCTTCGTTGTAACTAGTGACGTAGCGTGCTTTGCGATGGATCGATTGAACTGTCATTTAAAACTATGGAAAAGGATCGATGAACGGGGTGTTCGCAACGAACACCTTAATAATCGACTCTTTACCATAGCTTCAAATGGGAAAATATCGATAATCGATCATGCAACCCTCGCCACTGATCGTAGCATACAATTTTTGCACTTTTTTAAGCGGGAGGCTCATAAAACGCCATCTGGAACAGATAATGAAGTCAATGAATTTTAATTCTTTCCGATGCAATTATCTTGAGTTTTTAGTCATGCTCCGTAAGAGAGAATTTGCTTATTCGCTCTGGCAAAAGTTTGCAACTCGACCTAGAGTCCCTTTATACCCAGAGTTAAGACATCAATTCTGGTTGGCTTTCACTAAAGTGTGCACCCAAACGAACGATATTGAGGGATAAAGCTAAGGAATTCTGCGATGTCTGTCATCCAAAAGCAACAACATCAACAAAACTGATCAAAACCTAACCAAAGAAATTGCACTTGAATAAAATGAAATTGATCTGTGAATAATTTCTTACGCTATTTTCATTTTGGTGCGATGAAAATAGCAACGTACTCTCGATAAATCGCGATTAGATTATTTTTTCATTATTTTTGTTCACATTCGAGCCACCGCCATTTTGGTACACACTTTTGTGACACCATGAAGGAGAGCCAACCAGAAATGGATTTTTTTATAGGCCACTCTAAGTCTAATTAGTAGCGTGATTGTTGGATTTTGTGTTTGTCGGGTTGACATAGATGACATAGGTCAAAAGGCGGAGCGTGATACTGATATGGTCGACTATACATATGTATTATCGCAGCTTTGTCGTGCCTATGTAGGGTGGAACTCATGACAAGCTAAAGGCAACTCTTAAGTTTCCGACAGTATGTCGTCCATTCCACCTGACAAAGGCAAGATGAAGCAGCGATAAGACATAGGTGACCAATCACGCCCCGCCTCTTAACCTATGTCATCTATGTCTACCCGACAAAGACAAAATTCAACAATCAGGCTGCAGAATTGAGTTGTCTTAACTCTGGGTATAAAGGGACTCTAACTCGACCTCCTGAAGACCTTTCGCGCCCTCTAAGATCCGCCTTGTGGGCTCTCGTGAGTTACTTTAAATAGAGCGCGCTCATTTAGGGACTACCTCCCATCAATAGCCGCAAAATTCATGGAATTCTGCGCGGTAAATCTTCAAAAACAAACTGTGACAAAAATGGAAATTGACATTGTTTAAATGAGAGAATTCTTAATTGCACAGCGAAATATACACGAAAACCTAGGTCATGATGCCAAAATCTAAATAGAGCGGGCTTACTTATTTAGACTATTACCTGTTTATAGCCGCAAAAATCATGAAAATCCACCTAGTAGAACTTCAGAACTATGACAAAAAATGAAAATGTAGAGGGTCAGAGAGCAAAGATAATTTATCGTTGGATTTTTACTTTTCTCCATCTCCATCTTCATTTTCCTTCTTTTTTATCCGGAGCAATGAGCAGAAATATACAATATAAGAAAGAAATACACGCTCCAATCTATAACTTTCAACGAAAATTTCATAACTCCAATGCTTCATGAGTGTGTTAACTAAATCAGATATTGCTTTCTTTGTTATCAGCCTCCTTGTTTACCGGGCTGTTACAAATCAAAAGACCCCAGCGGCGATGGCCCCGAAATAATATGTACTTGCAAAAAATGCCATTGCTAACACCCGAATTGATCTTGCAAAATATAGAAAATAAAGATTGAATTCGAGAATTTGCTCGATTGATATTAATAAGAGATATTAAGGTAATTTATTTTTGGATTTTTACTTTTCTCCATCTCCATCTTCATTTTCCTTCTTTTTTATCCGGGGCAATGAGCAGAAATATACAATATCAGGAAGAAATATACGCTACAATCTATAACTTTCAACGAAAATTTCATAACTCCGATTGCTTCATGAGTGTGTTAACTAAATCAGATATTGCTTTCTTTGTTATCAGCCTCCTTGTTTACCGAACTGTTACAAATCAAGTGGCCCCAAAACAATATGCACTTGCAAAGGATGCCGTTGCTAACACCCGA